TGGCCTAATTCAATAGTTTTTCAATGATAACTTGGAAATAGTCAATAAGTAAAATAAATATTCCTTTCTATTTACCTTTCATTTAAATCCATGATTAATTGCCTTTCACAACAGAAATAGGACATTCAGCTTGAAAAAGAACAATTTGTATTACTTTTCTCAAGATATGTTCTTGATATATGTTCTTTCGCTTCCAGTTTAAGAAGTATTTTTCCCAACTCTTTAAACGTATGTATTTATTACATGCTTGATAACCAATCCTAAAAATAAATTATTAAAATAAGAAACCAAGATGTCTCATGCCTGTAATCCCAGCACTCTGGGAGGTCAAGGCAGGAGGATCATTTGAGACCAGGAGTTTGAAACCAGCCTAGGCAACATAGGGAGAGCCCATCTCTACAAAAAAATGAAAAATTACATAGGCGTGGTAGTGCATTCCTACAGTTCAGCTACTTGGGAGGCTGAAGGGGAAGGATCACTTAGCTCAGGAGGTCGAGGCTGCAATGAGCCAAGATCAGGTCACTGTGCAACAGTCTGGGCAATACAGGGAAGACCCTGCCAAAAAAAAAAAAAAAAAAAAAAAAAACAAAGAAAAAAGAAAAGAAACAAAAAAGAAATAGAAGGAGAAGGAGGAGGAGAAAGAAGGATCTAAACAGGTGATGGCCTCCATGAGAATGCCGATGGATGCACATGTCCCTTAAGTCAATGAGAGCAGAGCCAGGACCCGGTGAGGTAGGAGTCACATTCATGTAATGGCCTGCCCATTAGCCCTCTAGTCTAGAAAGGCTTGTTGTCAACGGGCGTTCAATAATCTCTTCTTTTTCCTCGGACAGCTTTAATGGGGGGGAGGGAGAGGCTACAATCTGTCAAGAGTGGTTTGGCTGCAACGCTGTCTGAAGGCGTGAGAATGAACTCCAAGGCAGCTTCAGCATTGGAATAAGAGTCTGGGCCACATTCAACATCTTTGGTGTTCAATCGCTATCACTACCGTATTTGGCCACAGAAAGAAGGGGCCGCTCCAATCCTCCTTACAATTACTGCTCTAATTATTACATTATACTTTCACAATTTAATCCCTTTTTTTGCCTCACTGCCTTTGTGGGGCTAAGTGAGCACCACAGTGTGATGCCTGATGATGTAGCTAGCGGGGTAGCCTCACCAAGTGCTGCGCAGCTGCCAGCTACAAGCACAGCCAGGTGGGCAAGTCCAGAGTGCTAATCTGAACAGTGACATCTCTGTCTCCTGCTCAAAATCCTTGAAACTTGCTCTCTCCAATATGGAGTAAAACTGAGCACATACATCACTGCCAAGAATCACCCTGCGCTTTGCTCTGTTAAGCTTTTGGGAGCATTTCAGCATCCTAAAGAAGAATCATGCATAGAATTCCAATTGTTCTATTCTAATGATTGCTCAGTAAATAACTATTGCAGAGCTATTAATGTCTAACCTATAGGATTTTTTGAGACAAGGATCACGAAATTTTTTCACATTGTTAATCTATCATTACCAAACATACTGAAGACCCAAGGGTTTAATCCCCTCAAACCCAAAAACTGGTATTTTCTCAAGGCAGGAGACATTTGTTAGAGGAATTCATCTCAATCCACAACCTTTGGGAACAAAGCTTTAATAAAACGTGGATAAGAGGGCACTCCAACCAGCCTGCTGTCTGAATCACAGTAGGTTCTCGGTAAATATTTGTTGAATAAATGGGAGTGGTTTTCACATTGAGAAACTCTTCCTTATATCAGCGTACTCTGTGCTCATGAATTTATCCCAAAATATTTGCTTATCTTTGTGTAGTTAGATGCAGAGCTGTGTTAACTGAGTTAACAAAATCAAATTAATAACAGTTGAAATTGTATATACTCTGTAACCATAAGGATTATAACACTGTTGAGCAATGGCTGGTAAACACCCAAAGATTTGAGGTGTGCTTTCATTCTCAAGTTTTGCAGTGTTAGCAAATAGGCTGAAGAGATTTCTCAAATGCCCAAAAGTGATCAAAAGCCTTGTGCACAGACCACCATTGTTTTTAGCTTCCTCGCTTTCCATGTGATTTTATATTTCATTTTAAATTGAAGTATTCTGAGGTTAATGCCTTCAATTTATAGATGAGGATGAAGAAGATAAAGATCCAGTAGATGAAAGATTTTTGAAACAAAATTTCAATAAATATAGCAACGACGAGCCAGAAATTATACAGTTACGAAGATATTTAGAAAATTCGTATGTACTGCACACTAACTTCGCTTTGTGTTCTTCAAGTAAAACTATGGAAGGCTATGAACAGATTAGGGTTAAGTATCTCATCTACTATGTAAGCGTGTGATGACTTGACAAACTGTGCTTCAAGTAAATTTTTTTTTTTTTTTGAGACTGTGTTTACCTCTGTTTCTCCAGACTTGAGAGCAATCATGGCTCAGTGCAACCTCCAATTCCTGGGCTCAAGCAATCCTTCTGCCTCAACCTTTCCAGTAGCCAGGACTACAGGCACATGCCACCATGCCCAACTAACTTTAAAACTTTTTATAGAGATAGGGTTCTCACTTTGTTGCCCAGATTAGTCTTTTGAACTTTTGTAAGTACTGGGATTATAGGCATGAGCCACTACAATGGACTAAGTAAATATTTTGATTGTGTTCTAATCAGCCACAGATTAAGGAGGCTATGTAACAGACAACAAAAAACCAAGGGAGAGAGAGTACAGCCTATTCCACTAAGGATTGTCACTAAAATCTTCAGTGCAACTGATGGAGAAGAGTTAAATTTCCAGATGCTCTCAAAAGGAAAGGTGGGGGCCAGGCACAGTGGCTCATGACTGTAATCCCAGCTACTTGGGAGGCTGAGGCAGGAGAATTGCTTGAGCCTGAGAGATGGAGGTTACAGTCAGCTGAGATTGTGCCGTTGCACTCCAGCCTGGGTGACAGGGTAAAACTCTGTCTCAAAAAAAAAACAATAAAAAAAAATGGGGGGAAGGGCCAGGCACGGTGGCTCACACCTATAATCCCAGCACTTTGGGGAGGTTGAGGCAGACAGATCACGTGAGGTCAGGAGTTTAAGACAAGCCTGGCCAACATGGTGAAACCTTATCTCTACTAAAAATACAAAATTAGTGGGGCATGTTGGTGCATGCCTGTAATCCCAGCTACTTGGGAGACTGAAGCAGGAGGATCACTTAAACCTGGGAGACGGAGGTTGCAATGAGCCCAGATCATGCCATTGCACTCCAGCCTAGGCCACAAGAGCAAAAATCTGTCTCAAAAAGAAAGGAAGGTGGGAGACTGCTCTATGTACACATAAAGGGTTTCAGAATCATGTTTTGTGAAACTGTTTAAAAGGATTAGTACTTAACAAATATTACTTATTTTGTACTTTGAAAACTAGCACATCACAGAATTATGAAGGCTCCAAATAAGTTGGTTTCAGTCCTGTTCAACAAGGGACCATTAGCTGCTGATGGTCTATGGTCAGTGGTTAATGACCAACAGCATGATCTGGAGCAGTGGGTTTAAATTTGAATTAGCATCAGGATTACCCAGAGGGTGGGTAAAATGCAGATTGCTAGATCCACCCTCAGAGACTCTGTTTAAGACACAATGGGGCCTGGGAACTTGCATTTCTTACGTTTTCCCAGATGATGCTGATACTGCTAGTGCAGCCACTGTACCTTCAGAGCTGTTGGCAAAGAATACAACGCAGTATAATGCGGTGGTTCTTAACTTTGGCTTTACATTAAATATCACCTAGGAGGCTTTTGAAAATCCCCCCATCCCTGGCTGTGCCCAAGACCAATTAATTCAGAATTTGGGGACATGAGCCCTGGCATCGGTATTTTTTAAAAGTCTTCCATTGATTCCAATGAGCTGGCAAGCTTGAGAACCACTGATATGTGGGAAGATAAACTTGGTGTCCATAACCGGTTATGAAGAAGATGTATTTTGTAAACCACTGAGCAGAACCATTGGTGTGCTGTGGATCTTCAGTATATATATATATGTTTTTTTTTCCTTCCCCTATTTTCTTCAAAAGTGGATCACAAGAGATCTAAAAAAGTGACACCTAATTTTCTGCCAGAATATATATCTATAGCTTGTTAATGAACTGAATTCTGTATCCGTAGATTACCAGTTTAAAAGGGCATAAACAAATTTCAGTCCTATTTTTCTACATTGTATGGGGGCAGTAATGTTATTTATAAATCTGGAAATCTAGGAAGTTTGGGGTATATATCACTTGTATATGTTGGAGGTATATTTTATCATTCAATGACATTTTATTGGTATAATTTGGAAGTCTTTTTATAGCAATTCATTTAAAAGTTAGAAAAAGTATATATAACCATAAGAAAAAAAGAAAGATGAATAGGTAATGACATTTGTCTAGAGCAGTGGTTCTTAAAACTGGTCCCTGGACCAGCAGCATCATCAGCATAACCTGAAAATTGTTCAAAATATACAGTCTCAGGTAGGCCCCCTCCCCAAATCTAATGAATCAGAAATTCTGGAGGTAGGATTCAGGAATCTGCATTTTAACAAGATTTCCAGATGATTCTAATGGACACTCAAGTTTGGAAATCACTGGTCTAAAGTATTTATTTCCATGTATCTGTAAGAAGATCCAAAGGGGTCAAAAGCACTTAGTGCAATGTGCATTTGCACAGTTGCTATATAGACTCACATAATAATGTGGGTCTATGTAATAATAATAATAATATGCTCTAATAATAACTATGCTCTTGTAAACTCCACCCAAAGTTTATTATTCTTGCGCCATTAAAGCTTAACAGTAAGAGGAAAATTAATAGGTATGGAGTATATCTGGGGGAATTTTATCCTATAAATCTTCCACTATCAATTGTAATCTATTTCTCTTTTCTATTCAAGATAGAATTAAGACTATGGAACTTAACTTATAAGAATAAGAAGTAGGAAAAACAAAAAACAACTCATCATGTGAGGTTGGAAGCGGGGGAGGGTATTCCCAGGTCCAACACTAACCTTGAATTGTCCTCTTGAAGAATGCCTTGCAGGCTTCACATGAAGCTACCCCATAGTGGTACCCAGAAGCGATGTCACCACACACTAAACACAGTCTCTTGGGCATCGAGTTGAGCATGTATTCACACTTGGTCTGGGGATCTTCCACAATGGTGCTGGAGCAGTCATCATACAGTTTCCTGACAGGCCCACTACCTCCCAGGATAGGAGCAGAAGGGTAGAGAGGTGGCGAGTCAAGTCCGTTCTGATGGCCATTCATGGTTGAACTGTAGCTCCCACTGGCGTCTGATGAGCCACCAGGGCTGTGGTGGTTGACGCTGTCCGTCAGGGAGGCCGGGCTGGAAGGTTCCGTCTTGATGAAGGACGAACAGCTAGAATCAATGTGTCGATCTTTGTTTGACATTCTGCAGAGAAGCCTGAGATTGACAGAGATACAAACAGAGAGAGAAAGAGGAGAGGGTGTCAAACACAGAGACCAAAAGAACAAAAGAGATGGTGAAAAAATAGAGAAAGGGAAAGGGAAAGTTAAAAGGAGGAAAAAAAAAAAAAAAAACAGAATTCATACGTTAAAAACATTTCTCTTTGAGAGTGTTTCCTAAGGGCTAGGGACTACACATCATTCATTCTCTAGTCAATACTTCTTGTTCCACAAGAAGGTAATCAGCATAAGGGCATGACAGGGTTACATCAAAGGGCCCAGACAGACCATAAACAAAAGCTCTAAAGGGTCCAATTGCTTTTATTTTACCTTTCTCTTGGAGAACCGGTGTCAATATCTAAATTAACTCTAGATTCTAAATTTATCAATGGAAGAGGTGGTGATTTGCAAAGTCTATACCATTTCTAAAATTGTATTTATCCTCACTCTACCTTTCTTTCCTCATTCTGATGCTGCAATCATTTTATTATGAGCAGAATAAACCTTTTGTTTTCAAGACTGAACAGATGATCCTCAGCTCTGTAATTACTGTTTGTCAGCATGCTTCTATAAGCATAACTGTGTCTTTTATTGATCTGACTAAAACACATAGGGAATATATACTCAATCACTTTGTTTATTTAAATTGCTCTATTTCATAGCCATTTGGCAATATAGAAAGACATCAAGTATAAAATTCCAGCCAATATTTAAAGATTACTTCCCAAAGCCTGCAAAACTTAGTGACTGATCACCAGTATTGATTAATAAATAAGTGCATGTGTTTCTTGTGTGTGATTTGCCATTGTTTAAAAGATGAATCAGTAAAAGCCATTTGAGTCTTCAGTATACCCATGAGTCCATAAATCTGATATTATATTATCTGATATTATAAAATCCTATATATATATTCAGTAAAATAGAAATGTATCAAATTTTGTCCTAAAAAAAAAGATATTTCCAATGGTCCTTCACTCACTACTTTCTGTCATTTAACATTATTCTTCCTAAAAGGAAAAATGTCAAAGCATCTATTCTGACACACTGTTTCTCTTATCTAGAAGACGCACTTCATCCCTTTTGTTGGTCGAACTAGTGACCAAATTTCTGGAAGCGTAATTCGATGAAAAGATATCATCGGTCTTATTTTCTTTTTGTTTAGCTATTGTGCAAAACCTCGTTTAGCAAAATCTCTAAGAACTTTCTGAGAGCCCACTATAGAAAGAAGAGGTGACAATCAAGAAAAGGACTTGGAAAATTGCTTCCCAATGGAAAGCTGATTTATGGGAATTGGGTAATGGTCATTCACTAGAATTTGGGGGACTCCTCACAAGATAACCAAAGAGATGCAACTATCTCTTTCACCATACATCTAATGACATTTGATCACTGCACAAATTTTACGCCCTCCTCCAGGTTCTCTTTTCCCCATTGTTCTGTTACTTTAAAATGAAGAAAAATATGGAACTTTTCTGGCAGGAAGGTTCATGTAACTCTTCCAAGAAGGCGATCTCAAAAGCAAAGCATTGAGGCAAGATTTGCCTCTTACCAAAGATATTTCACTTTGAGAAATTTTGCACAGCTTTCTAAAGTCAAGCAGTATCAAGATGTGAAGAAAGCAAATAGGAAGGAGAAAGCCACCAAAATATCTTCTTGCTTTCACCCACCCACGTGTGTTGTCCTTTCCTCAAGAACTAGTGAAAGAAAAAAATAGCCCCCTCGCCAGCCTGAACTACAGCGTCCTCTCTCTTCTGCATCTGCTGCCTTGTACCCGTCACTGCTAATGAACGTTGTAATTAACAGATCGCTCTCCTTGTCTCCTTAGCACTCTGGGCTAAGCACTTTCCTCAAGTCAACGTTTGAAAGAAAGCGGGTCGGCACTGACTTACAGCAGCCCTGCGAATTCCTTTTAATTTAGAGCACTTACACCACCACTTCACTTATTACCTTATAATTACTGGACTGCGTGCACATACATTATGATCTTAGACTAGAGTTAGAAGTTATTAGGGTACTAAACCATGCTTGCTCCCCTTTCCTCTCTCCAGCACTGAATTTCTCACAGCTATGACAATTAACTCTTTCACCATCTGCCTACAAGGCACTGTTTTTTAATTTAGAAAATGGTTTTTTTCATCCAGAGGAGAGTTGCTTGGAACTGCTTGATCACAAAACATATCATGATTTCTTCAAGCACTCTTTTTTTTTTTTTAATTTTTTTCCCTCTCTCTCTTTTCCTGTATCTTCTATGGTCATTTTCACCCCATTTTTTTTTCTTCAGGCTCTTTCTCATAGACGTGTAAAATTTGCAGAACTCTTGATTTAAAGAACAAGGCCAGAAATTACCCTCCCGTTTCTGGATCAGTTATTTACTAAGCCATCAAATATTTATGTGTCAAATGCATGTTGTTAAAGTCCCTGAAAATAGGGACTCTCCAGCAAGCTGTCTCATCCAAAATCTCAGTCCATAACTTGGCAATAGCCTGGATAAGGCAAGGAAATTCAGGAGGTACAAGCTGCCAGGGAGGTCCTTGGAACAGAAGCAACATCTTCTCCTAAACAAGGTCTGGCCACTGGAGCCATAAATGAAAATGAACCAACTGGATTTGTGCTATAGGTTGAACATGTTTTTGCCCTGCCATGAACTGCTTCCTTAATTAATATCTTTTACCCAGTGGAAATAGTAAAAGTCAGAACTGCCATTTATCAAGCACTTATTATGTGCCAGGCACTGAGCTGAGCTCTTTACAAATATTACCTCATTGAATCCCTAAGAAAACTTTGGAAGAAAGGTATTTCTCTTTAGGAAAACGAGCCTCAGACCTTTCAGAATTTGCTGAAGGTCATACAGCAAGGAAGCAGTACAGCCTGAATTCGAACTCAGGTCCGACTCCAAAGTCTAGAGCAGAAATGTCTTGAAGCCAGAGTTTTTAATGGTGTTTATTTACTCAATTTTTAAAAAATGACCAAGCAAGCAAGGTAGAGGTGGCATGCAGAGATACACTTTTCTTTCTCAGCAATGACATCCACAGACCATCCGTGAGTGGAGAAGGGCTGAAGGGGCCACTGCGCTGGCTGCAGGTCTGTCCTACTGCCTCACCCACCCCAGGGTTTGGAGTGACGCCTAAACAGAATCTCTGAACGAACACGGTTGTCTCCTAATTACTACTTAGCTCATTACACTGAACACTTCCTAGACACTATTATGTTATAACCTAAAACTACAGCAAGTCTTAATTCTCTGCCTCTCTGTCTCTGAAATTCTACAGCTCTATTATTCAAGCCTGAAATATTCACAACTATCTATAAATTCAATTGTCAGCTGGTGGGTTTTATTCTAGACTTCACTTCAATCTAAAATTAGAGGCACTAAAATTCACATTAACTCTAAGAGGAATGTAGTGAATAGGACTTTATTTCAAAAGAACACCTTTTTGTCAGAAAGAGCCATTTTCAAGATGATGGCTTTATCTGTAGCCAAAGAGAATAAGCCCAATTCCACATTGTGCTGTTAATGCAGAAATTTTAAGTCACATTGGATTAATAAAAATATAAATTTAGTTAAGAATTATGAATAGAAATAACGTGTCGAAATATGTGGGAAATATTTATTTTAAAGCCTTAGTATGGTCACCATTATTATTTTAAGAGAAATGATGAAACGAACAGGGAGTAAAGACCAGCTAGCTCCCTTCCCAAAACCTCTGAATGAACCCCCTGAGAATAAACTGGAGGGGGAAATAACAATGTCAAGAATAACCTTTAGTTTCTATTTGAGACACTAGATTTGAGGAATTTAACAGATTTCCTGAAATTTCAGGGCTTTAAAAAGCATTTCAACACAATTTGAGATAGAGCATCAAATAATTCTGATGATCATACTTCAACCTAGGAAGTCATCTCCTAGCCCTGCTTCTGGCCAGCAAGGGTAAAAATTATCTTTGGCGTACATACTAATGATCAGGCAAATAAAATGTCTTAGTTGTTTGACTATTCAAAGATACAATTTTTGAAAGTTATTTAATGGTGTGTAGATGTGTGCACATAGAGAGAGTGGGAGAAAGAAAGAATAAGAATCAATTAAAGTTGCTGCTGTAGGGGAAAAAAGGATAATCTGTGTTAATGTTCGATTTACATTGTAATTATCAAGCTTAATTGTTTTCAGAGATTCCACCCACAACCAGGTAAATGTGTGATCGTGAATGAACTGCAGGATTTTGACTCTCCACGTGTGTGTGCTGATGTTCAAAGTGGTCTACATTTCGATGGTAGGTCTGAAGCTCAGCCAGTGCTTTTATTTGTTAAACACTGATATAACAATAATGTTCCATAGGGCTATACATTATTAACCCTTTTATTGAAATACAAGTTCTTAACTAGCAGCTGCATTTCATCATGCGAATTTTACACAGATCTTGAATTCATTGGCTACTGTATTTCCCCACTAAAACAAATGTATAAATAAATGGGAAAATGGGTGCATAAAATTCTCATAAGGAATGTGTGTACAGGTCATCTGAGATCTTCTTGCTTATTACACTAAGGCAAGATCTTCTGCAACTTTTATTATATTTATACCAATAATGAACCTTTTGGTAGGCTAAATAAATGTCAACTAAAGAAGTCAACACATTTTCATTTCTTCTTTGTCATCCTTAAGGGCCTAGAAAGGTCATTATTATAAATTCCAAATGCTTTAAAAATTTGTTTTTAATATTTTTGTGTAAGGACACAACACAGTGAACCTGCAAGTTTACATATAAATACAGAGATAAGAAGAGTCCCCAGCTCCTATGTAGGATTCAGCGGAATCACAGAATTTCAGGGACAGAAAAGAAGGTTATCAATTCCCACCACCTACTCACTACTGATTCAAAACAAAAATGAACCTATGGGGATTGGTTGATTTTCTACTTTCTGAAATCACCAGACTAAATATTTAAGTATTTGTGTTTTAAAAAATAGAAAGTTCTTAATAGCCTACTGTGTGTGTGTGTG